TGTCCCCCCCCCCCCCCCATATTTGTAAACACGAAGCTGCAATTTAGTACATTTCAAATATATTAACTAAAGTAGCCTTTGTTTTATTTTATTATTATTTGTATTACATTTTAAGATTTGAAGTACACTACAATTCAAATACACTCAATACAATCAATCACAAGAAAATGGTGAGAGTTTGGGGCAGGGCTCTGTGTTTGTCCAACCAATGGAAGACAGTATGAATACTCATGAAACCTTCAGTCATTTTTATACATAAAAAAGTAATTCCTACATTCGATGTGCCATGTGTTTGTGGTTGCATGCCACCAGTAAGGAAACACACCAAAAATATTATTGTGTCTTCGATTATTTCATGGCAAAAAATTATTCCAGTAATGAATAAAAACTGGTTTGCAATCCCAAACCCTATTTAAATGTGTCAATATTTTTTTCTCTTGTTCCCCAATATTGAACACATACAATTTTAAAAGTAATTTTCCACTTAATTCCCACAGTTCATTTTCCCTTATAGGTGTTTAAGATGGGATACAAGCTAATAGAAGACTATTGCAATATGTGATCCCATCACCCTCTTGTCTTGCTCTCCATTGAGCAATCAGTGCTGTTAATAGACACCTCTGCTGCACTTTGAGTTTATCTAGAGGAAGATTAGTCCATTCACCCCGCACTACACATCCACTGATTGCAGAGTATTATGTGCAGTGAGATTGCATTTTATAATTTAGTTGGTCAGCCCTGGCACAAAACAGACTAATGCACTTCAGTATGCAAAAGCATGTTGAGCCGCGTTCTGATGTGCTTTGATTACTGATCATCTGTACAGTTGAAAATAAGGGGCACAAGGGCACAGATATACTAGAAGTTGTATATGCCAAGAATTTGAGTAAATTAATTGTTTAATGAAAACTTCACAACAAGTGATTGTAGCCACTTCGTTGAGGTTTACTAAGTCAACTAACAACAATTGGTCTTAAACACTTCATGAAGGTTAATTAAATAAACTAAATTAACAAACTGCAAGTAGACTTAAATTGGATTCACAATTACAATGGTATAGTTTTCACAAATTTCCAGCTCCCAGCATGCTTTCCTGTGATTTGTTTGCTCAATGAAAACGGAGTCTATATTATTCATCTATTTTGTAATTGTGTCTACACAAGGTATTTTTTTTTTTTTTTTACAAATGCTGTCGATTTGACTGTGAGCCTGTTTGCGTGCCGCTTGTTTTCAGTGAGTTTCAGCTAATAATGGACGCTAAGGGTCCAAAAAAAAAAAAACCACACACACACACACACACACACGAGTAACGCATTTAATTCAATGCAAGTTTTAAGCAGAGACTTTGCCTTTTGTTGTTCTCGTCTAAAGTAGGTTTGAAATTATCCCTTTGGATAGTTTTAAGCACAGGATGGCTTTACAAAATAAAGAGGAATAATACTTCGAATATAATTCACTCTGTAGGTAACACTTGCTATTCATGCTTTGAATGTTTCGTGCTGTATATTGAAGTGGCATACTGTCTATATGCACAAACTAAAGCTGACTATCTGTGTCCACGCAGTGAAGCCGGGTCAGTGTCCCATACCGGAGATAATTCCACTGTGTGCTGAAAGCTGTTTTCATGATGGCCAGGGTCATGCCACACAGAAATGTTGCCCAACCACCGGTGGCTTTGCATGCAGTGAACCACGTGGTCAGGGAAGAGGTCGGGCAAGTTGCCAGGGAAGCGGCCAGGGCCAGGAAAGTGGCCAGGGAAGCGGTCAGGGTCAAGAAAGCGGTCAGGGAAGCGGCCAGGGTCAGGAAAGTGGCCAGGGTCAGGGAAGCGGCCAGGGTCAGGGAAGCGGCCAGGGCCAAGAAAGCGGCGAGGAAAGTGGCGAGGGAAGCGGCCAGGATCAAAAAAGTGGCCTGGGAAGCGGCCTGGTAAGCGGCCGGGGTCAGGAAAGCGGTCAGGGCCAGGCAAGATGCCAGGGAAGCGGTTATGGCCAGGGAAGCGGCCATGGTAAGGGAAGCGTCCAGGGAAGAGGTCAGGGAAGTAGCCATGGTCAGGTAAGTGTCCAGGGAAGCAGCCAGGGAAGCGGTTTGGGTCAGGAAAGCGGTCAGGGCCAGGCAAGAGGCCAGGGAAGCGTCCATGGAAGCGGTCAGGGAAGCGGCCATGGTCAGGGAAGACGTTATGGCCAGGGAAGCGGTCAGGGAAGCGGTTATGGCCAGGGAAGCGGTCAGGGAAATGGTTATGGCCAGGGAAGTGGTCAGGGAAGCAGCCATGGTCAGGTAAGCGTCCAGGGAAGCGTTTATGGTCAGGGAAGCCGCAATGTAAGTGGTCAGGGAAGTGGTCATGGGAAGGGTCAGGGATGTGGTCATTGAAATGGTTTTGGGAATTTTGCGTAACTTACTGGAGATCTTTTCAATTCAGTGCTTTATTAATATGGCATGTTTTCCCTGTTTGCTCAAACAGTTTAGAAAGATTTTGTCCCTCTCCCACCCTCACCTCCTCAAATAAAGAATTGCTTGATTGAAGAGTTGGTGTTTTTGGTATAATTTGGCTGTTTTCTCGCATAACTGATTTCTGGCATCAGTGCTTTAAAGGGTTAGTTCCCCAAAATGAAAATCGGTCCATAAATTACTCGCCCTCAAGTCATCCTAGGTGTATATGACTTTCTTCTTTCAGATGAATCCAGTCAGAGTTGTGTTAAAAATTGTCTTTGATCTTACAAGCTGTTTAATGGCATTTGGTGGGTGTTGTAGTGCATCAGTCCAAAAGAAGTGAAATAAAAAGTGCCCGTCCATATATAAAATAAAATCCGGGGAGGGGGGGGCGGTGAACAAAGGCCTCCTGTAGCGAGTCGATGTGTTTTTGTATGAAAAATATCCACATTCAAAACGTAATCACTGTAGCTTGCTCCAACATTTGTACACTGAAGCAACTCCGGGAGGATGACGTATGAGGTCAGCGGTCGCTATTGTAACGAATGCAAGTTTAACACTCATCCGATCGATTGTGATGCCGTGCTTGCGCAGGAATCACGGTCATGCACACGCTCATAAGAGTTGTAAGATCTACTGCATAATAATAATAAAGCAATTAAGTAAATAAGAATTCTAAAATAAGTTCTAGGTTTGTAGTTGTATATGAAGAGTTCAGATGCAAAAGCTTTTCTAAGTGCCATCTAAAATTTTCTTCTAAAATGCTTATTTTCTCAGGCTCTTATGTTTCTATTCAGTTATTTAATTTAATGGGAACGAAAATAAAGCATTCATTGCCATTAAAGGGAAATTACTGAACCTGCACATCATTTTTAGAAGAATATTTCAAATGGCTCTTAGAGGCTTTTGCGTCTGAACTCTTCATATGAAGCAGAAATAAATTTACACTATTTGAACATTTTATTTTAAAATGTGCACATTCACTCTTATTCGTATGTCTAATTGTCGAAAACGCAAATGTCTCGTCACGTTCATTTATGATTTACATGAATCATGATCGCATATTTTCAATTCAAAACGGCGAAATTTCATAAGTTGAGTTTGCATCACTAGATAGTCTATTACTGTCGGTCGCTGAACATTTATATCATAAAACAGTTTTCTAATGCAGTACTACACCTTTCCACAAACTCTCATTGCATTTTGACAGTAAGACCCGCCTTCTTTGATTTGATTGGCCATCTTGATCATTTTGACATTGACGAGCGCTGTTGGACCACTGAGGCAGACCAGCCTAAAAGTTTAACTTTTAAAACGTTGTCATCCTAACAACAAACAGCTTTACTCCTTCTTATTCACAGAGTCTTATACTGTCTATCAGCTATGACTATTTGAGTCTTTCAAAGGACAAAATGGGTGGAAAAACAGCAATACAAATTTGACAAAAACAACCTAAAATGCAGGGAGCGAGGCCCTCTAGAGGCGCGAGGCCCTGGGCGGTCGCACACTTGGCACAGTCCTTGCGACGGTACTGATGCTTTGGGTGTCACAGATGGACAGAGAGAATAAAATGTCAGAGGACAAATGCTGACTCTTCACAATCCCCAGTGGGTAGCATTCTTCAAAATTGCTACATGCAATAAAATCAAGGAGCCCCATGTTCAAATACCTGGGGATACATTTGATTGCATTTAACTACAGCAACTGGCCCATAAGTTGATCAGCCCACCGGGGAAAAGTCCTGGTGTTCCTTATGGCTAGTCGATCCCTGAATGGGAATGGAACAAGCTGATGCAAGACTAAACTGCCCTAAATTGGTTCAGTAAATCAGCTATCTTGGCCAGTTAAAAAAAAAATGCTTGGTGAAAAGTGCTAATCTGAAACACATCTTGTTGAGTTTGTCCAACTCGAAAGATAAACACATTTACATGAATATGTTAAAAAGCATATTATTCACTACTAGATCACAATGGTGAGAACTAATAAAGCATACATACCAGGCTGTAAGTCCATAGCACATTAAGGTTTACAGATATTTGCACAAAACTCCAGGAACATTTTTGACGTGAAACTGGACTTTTTCAATGTGCGGTTTGGGAAATCACAGCTGACGTGCTGGATAAAGCAATATCCTGCAGAGTGGGACAACTGGCACAGCAATATAAGTGAAAACTCTGCAAGTGCTGAGGGACTCGTGTGTCTGTTTCTGCCTCCACCCACTGATGGATGTCGTAACCGGATGACACCCACTGTGACCCCATCAGTTCTCTCGCACCCCATTCCACTCTCAGCCGCCACTCTATCATGAACAGATCCCTTCATTTGTCACCTGAGCATTTTGAGCCCAATTGCTGCTATCAGCCGCTGTCCATGGTGCTGATACTGCAGACTGAAATTGAGAATAACAATTGTAATCGTTAGTGCATAATCACATTCATCCAGCATGGAATGTCAACAGATGAATATCATTAGTATCATGTCACAACAAATCATCTTCTTTCAACACCAGGGAACAGGATACAAATAAGAAAGGTCATAAACTGTAATTGGAAATACCTGCTTTTGGGGATCAGATCCCTACTTCTCTAGACAGAGAAACCACACTGAAGTCATAAGGGCAAATTCAAGAAGTGGGAACTGCAATTAAACATCCTTCTGCAGAGTCTGACTGGTGAGCGGATTATGTATTCCCCAATACTTTCTCAAGTTATCAGAATCTTACTGACATAGAACTGCAAACCATTAAACTTTGTCTCAAATGAAAAGTAAGTGTAGTGAGTTGGATTTTCATGACTACTGATTTTTACAAGTCGACTATGATTGTTCACTCAGAAAAGTAGTCAACTAGGTGCAAAAATAGTGTCAAGCTCTCACTCGCTTGTCAGCTTATGGGCGACATTCGGTTCGTTTCAGGATTCTTGCTTTTGTTTGACATTTGCAAAATAAAATGAATATTCAACTTGTCAGTGCAACCCCTAGAACAGGGGTAGTCAGCTTGGTCCTGGGGAGTTTTGCTGCAACCCTAATCAAACACACCTGCACAAGCTAAGCAAAGTCTAAGGGTTGTGGCTCTTCAGGACTGAAGTTGGTCACCCCTGCCCTAGAAAAAAGACTTTACAGGTAAGACTGACAACATGTATTTATTAGCTGTTTTGACCTTTATAAAGACAAGAAGATGCAGACCAGACAGTTGTTTGTCTACAAGGAATCTTTTGGAAAGACATATTCTCATCGTCACAACCTAGTTTTCCTTCTTTCCTTCTTCTAAATGTAAATATTACATGGTCCCTAACTCACATCCACTATAATCATCATATATTGGTTCCTGGACAGACTAGGTGTTGGAATTCCCAGGTAATAAAGAAATACACCTAAGTTGTACTAATATTGATGCACTTATTATATTTTTATTATACTATACTAAGTGCATAATAAATGCTTTATTTTGGAAGTGCTCTTTAAGATATGCCTGCAAATGGCTAAACCAAACAAAGAAACAGAACATTTCAAATGTCACCATCGTTGTTTTCAAGTGGAGGATCACTTTACTTTGAGTACGACTTGTTGCATTTTCTGCATTTCTGCATCTGTGCCATTCAGACACCGTGGTCTTTGAGGCCCAACATCTCTACAACAGAAGTGCTGAATCCAAAGTTAGCATGACTCTCAGAGCCCCATTATTCACTTTATTAGGAAATATGTCAGCCAGAATTAAACCTGTGAGATTAATTGATATGAGATTAAAACATTCGTACCACTCTCTTAATCTGATTTCAATTTGTCTTCTATTGCAACAGCAGCTGATTTGAAAACATCAAATTTTAACTTAATATTTCACAATGAAATACTCATTTATATTTAACATTTACTTCATTACAATTGTTACAATTACAAATAGTTGAGGAAAAAAACACAACTTAATTTTAATAAAAAAAAAAACTTGTTAATTGTGTACATGCTATAACGACAAATTATTCTTTCTGCCAATACATTGGACAATGTTTTTATACTTATGACAGACAAAATGCCACTACCTATACTTTAAGCAACCATATACGCGAACAATATATTTATTTTAAGTATGCTTATTACTAAGGCTTATAATTATTTTGCTTATTACTAAGGCTTATAACTATATTTATAATATAAGTTGGTACAATGTAAGAATACATTTGCTTATTTTATAGCTATAATGTATTTATGTGTGAGTGAATTACTATACTTTATGAAATATATTAAAATGTTTTTTTTCAGATATCTTCCTTTTAAAAACAAGCTGAAGCACATGATCATTACATATATATTTAAAACATATTGCAGTTACTTTAAACCCACTAAAAGCTGAATCATTTTACTATGTCCTTACACAAAGTAAACATAAACTATACTTTAAGTAAGAGTAAAATAAGTATGTTTTCCGTAAATACACTAAAATGTCTTGTGTATGTATGCTTGTGTTTTAGCATATTTCTTAAAAGCACAACTAAGCATTTATTACCAAAGTATACTTTTTAAAAACACATTAAAATCATTAAAATGCAATTCAATACATTTTAACACACTTCAAGTTAGCATGTTATGGGTACAATTGTACTATGTTTGCCTACAAGGAATCTTTTGGAAAGACATATTCTCATCGTCACAACTTAGTTTTCCATCTTTCATTCTTCTAAAGGTAAATATTACATGTTCCCTAACTCACATCCACTATAATCATCATATCTTGGTTCCTGGACAGACTAGGTGTTGGAATTCCCAGGTAATAAAGAAATACACCTAAGTTGTACTAATATTGATGCACTTATTATATTTTTATTATACTATACTAAGTGCATAATAAATGCTTTATTTTGGAAGTGCTCTTTAAGATATGCCTGCAAATGGCTAAACCAAACAAAGAAACAGAACATTTCAAATGTCACCATCGTTGTCTTCAAGTG